CCCCCCCCCCCCCCCCCCCCCCCCCCATATAAACACAACTGAGTTGCTCTTATACACTGTGCAAGCAAATTTGCAAGCTTCGTGGTTTCAGATATTGATTATGCAGGAATGTTGTCACGTGATATTAGATATGATAGCTGGTCAGCAGTTTGGGTTCAGTTTGTCACTGTTGTATTGAATGTATTGAACCAATTGGAAAACAACAGAGTGTGTGACTGCAGGCTGTACTTTATACCAGCTGCTCGCTCAATCGGTTGCTAAGCAGTTAATCTCCACTCGAATAGCATGGATGCAAATTAGACAACAGCATTGCATTGACACGATAGCCTCACTTGTATGATTCTTAAAACAAAAGAATTTCTCATTACGGGCTCCACGGTAATAACAGCTATTGTTCTGCACGGTGTTTTATGTTTTATGAGCCAAACAAACGTTAACCCAATATCAATCCTATTGAATCTCGTAACAAACTATGAGCTGATCACTCACGCCACGGCTAAGTCAAGATGGGGTCGGTAAGAGAGGTGTTCGGTGACTGAAGGTTGTGGTCGTCACTAATACAGCGTGCTAATATAAGGAATATTCGTTTAGACCATGTTTTCTAACGACTATGTGTTCAGTAAAGATGCGGTCGGTAAGAGAGGTGGTCGGTGACTGAAGGTTGTGGTCGCTAAGATAGCCGTGTTAATGTAAGGAATATTCGTTTAGACCATGTTTTCTAACGACTATGTGTTCAATAAAGATGCGGTCGGTAAGAGAGGCGTTCGATGACTGAAGGTTGTGGTCGCTAAGATAGCGTGTTAATATAAGTGCCCTCTAAGTGATAGTCAGATAGAGGGCACGGCAGTTACTATGCTAAGTCCATGTATCGATAAGGTCGGAGGTCGTAATGACTTGAGGCCGGTCGGTTTCCATGGGAAAGGACAAAAAATACTTTAGAATAGGTTTAGATAAAAGGCTTACTTCTAGATTTCTTCTGTAGAAAATCTTTGAAGGCGTTTTTAAGTTCTTCTGATGAAAGGTTGTCATAGTCGCTGTGTTGTCTAATTGGATTGAAGATATCCGCGTTGGATGACTGTCTGGTTTTTCGGAGATCTAGCGTTCGTCCTTCTCGGAAAAATGAGGTCGCGGTCCGTGTGAAGAGACTGAGAACTAGGACTACGGCGATTGCGAAAACGAGGCTCTTGTTGGTTGCCATTGGTAACTGTAAGAAAAAACCAGGTTAGAGATAAATACTATTAAAAAGATACGTTCATTCCGGATTCTTCTGTTTTAATTATTATTTTCTTAACCCACCCCATCCCACTGCGGATAAAACTGTACTATTTCAGTGCGCTCTAGAGTCGGTAAGCGGTAGTCATAGCGATAGAAACCAGGATTTTTCTCGGAAATGAAACTTTTCTTGTGAATGTGAGGAAGCTAGTCAAAGTATCAGCTCAATCGCAGTAAAAGGAAAAGGAAGGGAGGGAGGAAGGAAGGAAGGAAGGAAGGAAGGAAGATAATGATGTAGTTTTACATGGTAGTGACATCATCGTTTGGTCATCTCGTTCATGTGATAATATCGTATAATATTTAATCGACTTTTCTTGAGAGCGAAATAACGTTGTGAGGTAAATCTGTTCGCTTCCTTTATCTTCCCATGTTCGTGTTAGTGATATGAACAATTAAAAAAAATACGCATTTTAAACTTATATTAATCCCCTAAGTTTTAGACAATCTGTACACTCATTCAATAGACTGACTAATAAGCAACTTGAATGATCTTATTCAATCCATAATCTAGTTTAAACTGCAACAAATGGAGCTTTCAGAATTGATGTTAATAAACACTTGATAATACTGCTGAAACGAAAGACAATTACCCAACTAGTTTAACACTCAAAAAACTAGCCTTATTCAATGATTTGATTGAGAAATAAAGTTGGAAAACCTTTTTGAATCTTCAGACGTATTCAAGCTTAGATACTTGAAAGCATTTTAAGGTCTTTATTGAACGGATATTTCGAGTTATCTAAAATGATCTATATAATCCAGCATTTTACAAAGGCTTTTAAACTTGTATTTCATAATCCGACGCTATAATATAATTTTTGTTGAAGTATTCTCATATCTTTTGGGGACTAGAAGCTAACGATACGATTAATCAGTTCTAATGCCTTCGAAAAAAAATAAATTTATCAAACAGTTTTTATCCAATGTTAAGCACGAACGGCGCTATCTCAGTGCTGAGTTCTGATTATCTCAGTAGAAGATTTTTAACCGTTTTTTCTTTTAACTCCTTAGTGTTCTATTCTTTAAAACGAATTTCAAAACCTCCAAAAATGATTAAAAGTTTTGATATCTAAAATATAATCAAGAGCAAAAGAAAAGACGATTCTTAGGATAATTTGAAATATTTCAGTTTCAAACTTACCGATGCAATTTAGAAATAAAGTTGAATCCAGTTTACTGTTGTGGCGTTCGACTGCTCCGGTTTCAAACTGACGTGTGATCAAGTAAAATGTTCGATATCTTTTATAGCAGTTTTTGTTTACTTGTCTTATGAAGTATTCTTAATTTTCAAGCACCAATTAAGTGATATTCAAGATTTGATCCCGAGATTACGACATTGTTGCACCGATAATTGAAATTATCTTGAAGCTCATTACCAAAATAGCTACTTCAAAACTTGCCACAACAATGGGCAATTTGCAATAATAGATCAAAAAATCAGATAAGATACTGTGCATCGAAAATTCTATTAAGTACAAAGAAATGATTGAAGATACGGAAAACTAATCCTCTTGAGGCAATAATTTTGGGCTCGAACTTCTATCGCGTCTGCTCGTGAAAAATTGAAAGAAGGAATAAAGGAGATCACGAAATTTTGAAAGATGTTGTATATACCATTTGTATTGGATGTAATTGTTGATAAAAACCCTTCCTCTTTGATACAAAACAGTCTCGTTATTTCATTGTTCGGATTCTTGCTTTAGGAAGTTCTGCTAAATGAGTTTGGCCTGTAACAGCCTTGCTTATTTCCCACACACGAAGAATGCATTCCCTTTTGGCAAATTAATCACTTCAATATAGCCTTCAAATCAGCTTCAATTGATACTTTGCAGCATTTAACTTAGTGCACGAAACCTCAGCGAAAAGTAAAGAATCAACGCGGTGGAAAAAAATCGAAGGTTGATGATGCTGTTAACTAAATATCAATTTATTTGGTGTTTAATGAGCTCTGACTTACTACGCCATGCTTTGAATAGATAGTCATTTATCTAAAGTAGGTCTTATAAGATGAAAGATAATCCGTATAGAATATAGTCGGTAAATTGACCAATATTGATGATGAGAGAGAAGGAGAAGCAGGAGAAGTAGGAGAAGAAGAAGGAGAAGAAGAAGAAGGACATTAAGGAGCGGGAGAAACAAAATAACTGATGTAGAAGACTGAAGAAGTAGAAGAAGACGAAGAAAACTGAAAAAGGAGACAAAAGACAGTAAAAAAAGATGATGGATCGAAGAAAAAAAAAAATTTTTTTTTTCACTTCTTCCTACCATCTTAGTTAACATGATGTTTAAAGATGTATGAGGCTTTGAAAAGACTATTTGTTCAAGTAGGCTCTGCTACGAAATATTCGACCTGCTACGAGAATTGTTCACGGTGTGGCCATGGTGTGATTACGACATTGCGAGAAGCGATTACCAAGAATCACCAATATTTTCTAATCTAACCAAGCGCTTAAAATTCTTTAAAAATGTTTTTTTAACGTTTTAGAAGAGTTAAGATGCCGATATATTTTTTTGTGGGCAAATAATCGTTGTCTCGATTAAAACATTTCATATGCACACATTTTACCATCTCTAAAATCCCTTGTCTAGTTGTGTTTTTGTACACATAATAGAATTATTTTTGTTATTCTCTCATATCTATCTAGTAATAAACCCTCAACTGATTTTCGAATATTGGTTTTCAAGTGTTTAGGAGGCGTATGGTAAATATTCTAGTGAATTATAAGTTAATAAAGTGAATAAAATGGTGTACTTAAAGAGCTACACACTGATAAAAGGATGAGTTAGAGCAGTTATTTGTCAGGGCGTGCTCTCTCGCTTTAGCTTCAATCTCAATAAAAACCCTTTCTAATATAGTCCTTTTGATTACTAAACTCTCCGTGGGTTGTGAGACTTATATCGAGATGGCAATAATGAGTTTAAGTTTAGTGAGGGAAAGCTAAGAATCTAAAGAAAATAATGAGGCTTTTTATTTCAAAGAAAAGCAGTTGGAGTCAGGTAGCCTGAGCTCACGAGACACACATGAGATTTTGAAGTAAATGTCAGTATGAAAAAAAGTTAAGAGTTAAAGACTAATTGGCCATATTACATCCGACTATTTTCAAGTTTGCCGGCATTCAAGAGATTAAAAATCTTTTGAAAACTGTTTTATTACAAATTTCATCCCAAAGGAACCAGTCAATCGCTTCGTAAAGTAATTTCCTTAGCATTATCATAGAATACACCAATTGCGCATTCATTGTTCTACCTCCCTAGTTACTGTTTCTACGTCGGACAAGCTAGAATGTGTTTTTGATATACAGCATGGAACAGACACCGATTGCTGATAAAAGTAAATATGTCTGTCTTAGAATCAATGTATTCTAAAGGTACATTAAGAAAAATCGATAGCTACTAAAAAAAAAACGATTATTTTGAGTTTGTTGGTCAAACATTCTGTATTCCATTGGATAACCAGACTACCCATTGTCTGGGTGGACGCTCAAAGCATAGCCGGGATTGGTCTATTATATATCGTAAGTTTGGAAAATATACGTGGGAATTACTATAGATTTTCTCCTCTGTAGAGGAGTTGTTTTACATCAGTCATGTTGTTGGGAAGTCCTGATAGACGCAATATTTCTGTTATTTCGCTTATTTATTTATCCCCCTCCCCTCCCCCCCAAATGCCTCTACTACTTTGTCCTAGAAGATGTATATATCTGTCGTGAACTCCATCTATGTTTATCGCCGACGCTACCGACGACTGAGAAGCGAACAGACTGAAGTATACAAAACCGTTATTAGGGGATGCCGTTTGTAAAGAGTTTCTCTTATCTTATCAATTTACTTCGTGATTGATAATCAAACAAGTCTTACATTTTATTGTGGTTTAGATTGAGATCTAGATAATAAAGCGATTGATGAACATTCGTATTATAAATTATGATGAGGCGAGCCTGGTTTAACGAATATCGGGCAGGGAAGAGTCAACAAAATCAAGTTCTATCTATGTAAAAAAATATATGTACAACTTTATGGTTATCTATAGTACTTTCTATTCCGATTTGACATAATTCCTAAATGTGGCAGCCATGTTGGATGATGTTCAATATAGGCGCAGTTTGTAATCATTCCTAAGGGGATAAAAGTGGCAGCCATGTTGGATGGTGTTCACTATAGGTGGTTTGTAATCATTCCTAAGGGAATAAAAGTGGCAGCCATGTTGGATGATGTTCACTATAGGTGGTTTGTAATCATTCTTAAGGGAATAAAAGTGGCAGCCATGTTGGATGATGTTCACTATAGGTGGTTTGTAATCATTCCTAAGGGAATAAAAGCGGCAGCCATGCTGGATGNTAAGGGAATAAAAGTGGCAGCCATGTTGGATGATGTTCACTATAGGTGGTTTGTAATCATTCCTAAGGGAATAAAAGCGGCAGCCATGCTGGATGATGTTCACTATGGGTGGTTTGTAATCATTCCTAAGGGAATAAAAGTGGCAGCTATGTTGGATGGTGTTCACTATAGCTGGTTTGTAATCATTCCTAAGGGAATAAAAGTGGCAGCCATGCTGGATGATGTTCCCTATAGGTGGTTTGTAATCATTCCTAAGGGAATAAAAGTGGCAGCCATGTTGGATGATGTTCACTATAGGTGGTTTGTAATCATTCCTAAGGGAANCTATAGGTGGTTTGTAATCATTCCTAAGGGAATAAAAGTGGCAGCCATGTTGGATGATGTTCACTATAGGTGGTTTGTAATCATTCCTAAGGGAACAAAAGTGCCAACTATGTTGGATGGGTTCACTATAGGTGGTTTGTATTCAATCGTAAAATATGCATCGAGAATCATCCTTCTTTTTTATAAAAAGTAGTTTTTTTTAAAACTTTTTTTAAACTTTTTTTTAACTGTTTCATCTTCGTACGAAAAGCTCTGTTACTGCTGATATAAAAGAATCTAAGCCGACAAACCAAACCAAACTCGTGGTACATAATCAATCAAGAATTCTGAATATATTTGGATTAACCACATGCCAAATATTTCATTTAATGAAGCGGCAAGTGAGGCCATAGTTTTTATCTTCATCAAGACATGGTTCAATCTTTCTAGTTTACATCTTGTAGAATCTTCACAAGGACAACGACATTGAACGGCTCTTTTGTTTGGTCTTCTTGAAATATTAACTTTGTTTATCAACAGGAAAATTGAGGAAATTGAGCGAACAAGCAATATTGTGTAGGTCTATGATACGGTGAGTACTTTCTTGTGTTTGAATATAGTATTTGTGAAGTGCGAATGAGTATTAGACTTGGATGCGCGCGCATCCTGTTGGAATCCGTCTACCAAAACCGATATTCACAAAAAAAAAAAAAAAAAAAAAAAAAAAAAAAAAAAAAAAAAAAAAAAAAAGAAAAAAAAAATTAACAAAAAATCTTTTGAAATTGCTATCATTTCCAATTGTCTAATTGCCTAATCGGATAAAAGGAAAGCCATCAAACAATGGTTATTAACACTTCGTAGCACAAATTAGGCGAATAAATTTCGTTTAGAATTGTCTATTAATTTTATCATCGGAAAACCGTTCTCAGCATTGTAATATGACTGTTGTGTAATATTATTATGATATGTAATAAAATAAAAATGATTAAATTTGGTATTTGGATTGAAAGGTCTTAGCTACACTATTTTATCGGCCTTGTCAATAGTTTCGTGTTTTGTCCACGGTTATATTAATGATCAAACTCTGTAGTTTTTCGATATTTGTTTTTCAAATCATTCCTATCGATATTCAGTTTCATTCTATTAGCCTTAATGTCTATCAAAGCACTCAACGATTAAATATCCTCTCTCAACTACGGGACAGCATGGCTATCTAACTATCTTGAAAAATTACGAGCGACAAAATGGCGAAGTTTAACGAGTGATACATATTTTATCGTTTGACTCGCACCTCTATAACTGATTTAATAGCGAAGGAATTTCTATTGTAAGTGAGCTAAACAGCATTGCCTTAGTGGTGCGCTTACAAACGCGTTATCGAATTTTACCTTCGTTCACTACATGATTGTGTGTCTTTACTGAGTGTGTAAAAGAAGTAAATTATACGGTCTAAATCATCCTCAGTGCAGAATGCCACATTGTAGTTGTTGTTATAAGAATTTTTGATTTGATTAAATTGTTTCAAAACTATTCTAGTTCATAGAATATAAATAATAACATTAATGATAAATTATTATAAGGTTGGTGATGAATATTTTGAACTTTGTGACTCAATATTAATGGCTTGCTAATAATTTCACAATAATTCACATGCTCATAAATTAGAGTAGTTAGGAAAATGCCAATTGTTGACTTTAAGCTTTAATTCAAGGCAATGAAGGCATATGTTTAAGTGAACCTTCATTTGGCATCTTGAAGTACGATGGCTCTTCTGACTAAATAAAAAGAAAGTGACTTGGATTGAAAAGACCATTAGCCGAGGAGCAAAAAGTAGATGAAGTTTAGTGAGCTTGTAAACAGGGTTGAAGTGAAATAAGTATTGCTTGGAAAAAATGCATGAAAATGGAAAGAAAGAAAGAAAGAAAGAAAAGGAAGAAAGAACAAACATTTGTATTGTAAACCCTTCTTTGCGCAACAAAAAGGTGTTACTTCAAAATGCCTTGAAATATTTTAGAATTGTTTTATTTTTTTTCCAGAAAACATTGAAGTCTCACTTGCTTTGTAAAAAAAGGCTACACTCAGTCGGAAACAAGTTAATTTTTTTCCTTTAACGTTGCTTCCTAGCTTTTCAAAGTCTCTTTCTGCTTTCCGTTTCGTTTTCCACTGCAATCTGCCATTCTAAAGGTTTGACTATAAAGTATTTTCATTATTTAGGCAAGCAATTTAAAATCTAAAATTTGCCTCACTGACGCTAAAAAGCCAAACAAGTTGGTCAAAGCTTCCTGTCATATTTACGATTTAACTAAAAAAAATTCGTACTTTCAAATTTCTTTCACAATTCAATAACCAAATAGTCAGTTTTGCGCTGCTTGAAAGCTCGGATTTTGGCCAAATGTCCACATTTGAGTTGGAATTTTGTACATTATGGAAGTGTGACAGAAAGTGATACTAACGCCGAAGGCAACAGAATTAACACAAACGAATGAAAAAGAAAATTGGAAAAATTGCTTAACTCATGTAAGATTTGAGCTATGGTATGTTAAAGCTATTTTTTTCTGAAGAAATAAGTTTTTTGAGATTTAAGTTACCTTGGATGAAATTTTAAGACGCTGACAATCTTGAACGAGGCTTGTATGGTACTGTAGTTAGATAGCTCTCACTTTGCTTATATAGTTTCCCGCTGTAAACTATTACATTGGGATACATCCATCGCGCATGCGTCGCTAGAGCTCGCTGCACTAACGGTAGTGGGCGGGTGTAGAACACATTCATGATCCCAGCGCGACACCTCATTCGACTGGTACCTTCCTGTAAACTTGAATTGAATGAATGAAAGCTACAGGGAGCGTGCCATCTTTGGCAAAAGCATTTCACTGATAGCCAGTGACACTTGAATATCTTACTCGAAATCCTATTGTTTGGGCTCGTAGTCATTGAGGTGATTAGCGCGAAGATTACTATACGAGCGTTTTAAATACAACTCCCTAATTTCCGTTACACGATTGTTATGACTAGAGAGTGTCTTGCGTTTCTAACTAATGTACAAATTGATGAGTACACAAGTTGATTGCAAACCTCAATAAGGAAATTGGAAAAACACTCAGGTACGTTTGCAACTGTCAAAGAGTTGTCGTGATTTGGTGGAAATATTCCTTATAATGGACTCTCTAAATACAAACCAAGAAAAGACTTTTGAAATACAATTATTGAAAAATGTGAGGTTTGAAGTTTGAAGGAGTAAGTTGTTTCCTAATGTCACTCAAGGTGTAAGTGATGTGAATGCTCTCGAATATTCTCGTATTATTTTTTGTGGTAATTTATACATAGGAACATATGCTGTAATGATGAAAAACAATATTTTCAAATTCCTTTTTAACCATTATTTTTCTGTTTCTTTTCATCTTGTTTTCCATCTGCTTTTTTCCGGTCATTTCTTTTCTTTCTTCTTGTCTCATTATTTTGCCATAATATTTCTAAATTCTTTTTTCTCTTTCTTGATAGCGTTTTCTCACGTTAATTCATCAGCTTTCATTCATATATCTCTTTCTTTCTTTCTCTTTCTCCTCTCTTAGCTTTCTTTATTTTGTTTGATCAGTATTCATTCATTCATTGTTTATCTTTCTTCTTTTTTTCCCTTTCTTTTTGTATATCCTTTCTTTCGTCGCTTGCATGTTTTTTTAAATTCTTTTCTCTTATCCTTCACTTTGTTTTTGTGTTTTTCTTTTCTCTCTCTTTCGTTTATTCTTTTTGTCTTCTCAAAGGAACAATTTATTGGTACATGAAGCTCCCTGACAAGAATATCCAAGCTTAAAATGAATTGAATTAAGATATTGGCCTTCCTCGAAAATGACCCACTTGAAATCACTGCATTGATATCTCATGTCACCTGTAAATACTCAAGCACGACGATCAAACTTCATTTATTCCAATTACAAATACAATAAACCTACTACTTTTCAACAATAATACACCCTTTTTATCGTAATCCTACGGTTTTCCGGTGCTTTTCTTCTAAATACTTTCCTCGCCTCTCTATTTTCATCCCGCTTTTCCTCGAATGATTCACTTCCTCGTGAGTGAGAAATACACCGGCAAAGGTGACGCTTACCTTAAACAAAAAATCAATTAAAAAATCCTTTGATTTAAGTTTTTATAGTTTTGGGTGGTCGGCTTTTTTTCTAGTATTTCGTATGTAACACAATGCAATAAAAATTTGAATTAGGTCAGGAATTTCTACGAACGAGCGAGTGCTCTAGTATGACAAGCAAGATTTGAGCGCTTTTGTGATCAGCCGAGACCTAAGATTCAGCGATTCTTAAGAAAGAACTAAGAGAAAGCGAGGAAGGAAGGAAGAAAGGAAGGAAAGAAAAAAGGAGAGAATAAGTCTAAGAGAGTTCCGCGTTAGTTTATAAATATCATTCTCTACCGTTGTTGACGTTTCTCTCACATCTGACTTCGAGCCGCATTAACTTGAAAAACAAAACTGAATGTACGTGAAAGAAAAATATACTTGGATAGAAAAGATGTTTCTTCTCATTTTGAAAATCTATTGAGCTGTTGAATAACCAATAAGAATTATTTAGCAAGTAATAGATACACCAAGCAATGAAGGTTCCATAAGGGGTGGGGTTGGGGGTTAATCTAATAATCACAATTGATTAATACCCTAATCGGTAGATACACCCCTATCAGTTCGATTCATGCGGACGCCACATGTGAATTGAGTTTGTTGGTTCGGTGCGGTTGTCCCTGCCTTACCGCCACATTCTTCACACGGTTTTCCGAATTTTCCTTCTTCTGCGAAAACCAACATTTAAGATGAGATTTGTGTGCTTGGAACATTAAACATAGTGGTAATGAGCGTGAAGTATGTCGTATATTTAAGAATTAGCCGTGGCCTCTGGCTAGGAAGACTTGGCAACGACTACTAGTATCACGACCTATTAATTTGTTCATGCGCCTTTAGAGATGAAAGGAAAAATAGGCAAACATTTGAAGCTAAACTGAAGTGTGCATAATTGATATTCAAAGTCGAATCAAAGTACTTCAAGAAAATAAATGTCTATGACACAAGGATTAGATTATATTATTTCAAGCGAGCAGGCACTATGAGTAACACCATCTAGTAAAACTTATTCCTTTTTCAGATCAGAAACAAAACCCTTTTTTTTTCTCTGTGTAGAATGGAAGATTTTTCTGAGTCGGAAGATTCGATCGATTACGCAAGGTTTACGGATCATTCATTCATTTATTTTCTCCACTGACACACCACGCGTTCTCAGTTGACCACGTTTTTTTATCGTGTTGATATTTGTCTTATGATTTCTGTGTCAGACGACGTCCTGCAGGTCCTCACACCAGTATCAGCAGTATCGCAATTCCAAGCTTAAACAGAAACAACTTTGTTTATGTGTTATTAACTGATAAACTTTGCCGTAATATCGTCCCACAAGGTCGCATAACAATGTTTTTCTACTATCATTGGTACGTCTAGATACTGATTCAAGGCCTAAAAATCCTCTCTCTCTAGATCTATGCCAAAAATTGATGTAATGTTTGGGCTTTGAGAGACAGAGATCCTAATAATGCCTTTTGGGAAGTGATATAGCCTATTACAGTACTGAGATTAGAACAGTTACTATAAACACCGATAACCATCATTAAACAAAGTCGGCGGTATATATATCGTAGCAAGCGACTTCCTTCCTGAACACGCTTCGCAAGGAGGACGATGCATATACTCAATCTTTTTTCCTTAGTTCTTTCGTATTAACTCCGGGTCCTTTGACAGTACGGCTTAGAACTGAAACAAGGCGAGTTTTCTTGTCTGTTGGAAGCGCATCGCGTGAATTTGGTCTTCATCTTTTTCCTGCTTTATGTTTATTTTGTAAATTAGCGAGAGACACAAGAAAAGGCGACGATTTTCCGTCTCTCTTTCAAAGAAAGCTCAGGACTTTATTTTTTTAACGCAAACAGATACGTTAAGGTTGGATATAGTGCCTAGTTAGTCATTTTGGGGTCAACAAACACGACAATCAAGCTACATAATTTATCCTATAATCATTTAATTTTTGGAAAAAAAATTTTTTTTTTCTATTTATGGCGTAGACCGACTTCTTGAACGTTTCCCCTCACGGCCAAACGCATCCCTCCGCCTCGTTGTCCGCGCTCCAACTCCATACAGCGAGATACTGACAGTAACACGCATGCACGAGTGCGACTATATGCCGAAGATTTTTGCTATGTCAGGGAAAAGTGGGACTGGTGATCATAGTGTACCTGTGGCTTCCCTTTTTATGGCTCGTATGCGGGAAGAACCTGGTTGTGTGTTGGTGGACGAGGAGTAGGAATGATTTGTGGAGTGCATGGAGAAGAAGTGATCTCTATGCCAGTGCACTAATTCCATTCAGTGTTTCCCAAAAAACTATAAAGTAAATGAAATCCCAGTTAGAGTGCAAACAATATATCCTTGAAACACTGATTACTAAAATGTTCAAAATAGTGCTAGTTAAACAAAAGAAAACAATAGAATTAGCATAAAATAGTGTAAGTTAGTATTACTAATATTTCACGGATATATTGCATTCTATCAACCTTTCTGGTTTTCCACAGACCGTCAGCATGGTCGTCGAGCCACTGTTAATTGTTAGTAGTTCATAATATTTAATACCTTTGACATAAATATATTTTATATTTAACTAACGATTATTCCAGGCCTTTCTCTTCAATATTTGAATATTCTTTCAAAAATGTCTCTATCAACGGAATTCATTCACATTTGTTATCGAAATATCATGGCATTGAATCTGTTTTCGTCGGGAAGCTGTCGTTTTCAACTGGACCATAACTCGACTCACTCATTAAACCTCATTGCCGGGCTTTATTCAATTCACGTCCACTCGTTGCATGCCAGGACACTTTCAGTTACCAGGTTACATTTCATTCACGGTGGCCTTTCGTTACCAGACCCCATTTTAATTCCCAGCCATTGGTTACCAGACCACGTTTAATTTACGGCCATTCATGACCAGGTCACATTTCATTCACGGCCATTCATGATTGCATGAGCTTGGGTATTGGCATTAAAGCAAGTTCATATTTAGTTCTACTTTTAGAAATTTAGATTTCAAAAAATACAAGCCAGCAAGGTTAACAAATAATAGAAATACTATCTAGTTGTGCTTTTTGGTTTGCAATCTTTTTCTCTCATATTTATTATATTTTATACACTGAGATTAAAAGTTAGTTAATATTGTTGTTTTTTGTTGTTGTAATTGGAATTGGTATAGACCCCTTGCATTTCAACGTAGCTCCATCTGGGCCGGGTTGTACGAAGCCTGGATAGCGCTATCTGAAGGATAAATTTTATCCAGTGGATAAATTTATTGGAAAACAGCATCGACTTATTCAATGGGTAGGATTTATCCGCCGGATAGCGCTATCCAGGCTTTGTATAACTGGGCCCTGGGAGACAAAACAAAAGAATTACAATCTCCAGAGAATTGGAAACTTTTGTTTTGGTCCCCCAGATGAAGCTGCATTCCAAAGTGCTGCAAGGGATCTATATACAAGGCAGACCCATTCTTTGTAGATGAGGAAGTAAAAATATTTATCTGCGATTTATCTGCGAAAATATTCATCTGCGAAAATAATGCTTAAACAACAAAGCACTCCACAGCACTTTGATGAGAAATAAGAAGGTAGAAAGGAAAAGAAAGTAAAGAA